GAGTATCATGCTTTTCATAGTTACAAATGCCTTGTCGATGCTTATAATTTCCAAAGAACGTAATGATTCTAACTTGTATCTTTATCATGCTGTTCATATAGAGAACTTGTTAGGAATAATTTGTTTGCGATGCATATTCATCCAATTCAATGATTCTAGGGAAATTTGAAGGTTAATTTAAGCGGACCTAATTAACTTGGAGTGTCGAGTTTCATAATTTATCGAAAGACCAACTGAGAATCAATTTTGTATGCAAGTATAACATGTGTGGAGATGAACCCCTTGGCTATTCCATCATCCATATTTTCATCTCATTCATATTTACGTTTTGCCTTTAATTACAATTTGTCCATTTAATTTAATCTCGTCCAAACACAATCCCCCCTTTACTTTATTGTCAAATTAGTTAGAAATCAATTTAGTTTAGTGTTTTATATTGTTTTTACGTTTTTGAGTCAAAAATCCAAGTGATTAACAATCCCTCCTAATCCCCGGTCCAGAACGATCCCTACTTATACTTATACTACAATTGTCAAAAAGAGGGTTTAATTTGTGCGCGTATAAATCTCGCATCAGAGCTACGCAACTACTATGTTGATCAAGGAAGTCGTCAACAAGCTCTAAACAATCCTCCCAATGAATTTGAGGATCGAAGCGAGCAGTGGCGTGGCTATGCGAGTTTTTTTATGGGTATTTTTGAAGGAGAATTACTTGTTTTTTTATTTATTTGCGAAGGACAATTACTTTAATTACATAATTGTGTTTACTATTTTAATATTAAATAAGTTGATTTAAAAATAAATTAATTAATTAATCAAACATTAATAACGTTTGATTAATTAATTTGTTAAATTTTTTAAATTTTACAACTTTTACCCGACGAACCATTCCGTTGGTTAACTCTTACTAAACTGACCAAATTGTTGATCAAGGAACTACTATGTTGATCGAGGAAGTCGTCAACAAGCTCTAAACAATCCTCCCAATGAATTTGAGGATCAGAGGGAGCAGTGGCTTTCGAAGGACAATTACTTGTTTTTTTATTTATTTGTGAAGGACAATTACTTTAATTAAATAACTGTGTTTACTATTTTAATATTAAATAAGTCGATTTAAAAATAAAAAAAATTAATTAATTAAACATTATTAATGTTTGATTAATTAATTTGTTTTTTTTTTTTTAATTTTACTATTTTTACCCAGCGAACCATTCCGTTGGTTAACTCTTACTAAACTGACGAAATTGGACACAGAGCATTAATTAATAATTTTGTGTTACCTACCCGATGGCAATGTCCGTCGCATTAAAACATATTATGGGGCTTTTAGATTTTAGGGTTTTAATAAGATTCTTTTTACGTTTTAACATAGATGGTTTTGTAAATCTAATTTAAGTCCATTTTATTAAAACTTACCATATTTAAATATTTATGACACATTTATTATTTATAACTTACCATCCAACATTGTCTACCCGTCCATAATGAGTGTATTTTCTTGTGCTTCAATTATATAAATAGATAAAACTTATTAAAATTCAATTTCTTATAATTAGAAAAAACGCAACAATAATATAAAAACAATTTATATTTTTTTAAACAAGCCTCACAGGTACAAAAGTATGAGCATGTAAGTTTCGATATGATTGCATCAATATATAAGTTTCGGTATGGTGTATCAGTATAAAGTTTCGGTACGACGTATCAGTACATAAGTTTCGGTATGATTGCATCATCACATAAGTTTCGATACGAATATATCGATACATAAGTTTTGGTACGAATGTATCAATACAATTGCATCGATACATAAGTTTCAGTACAAATATATCAATACATATATTTTGGTACGAATGTGTTAGGTACATAAATTTCGGCACGATTGTATTAGTACATAAGTTTCGGTACGAATGTATCAGTGTATAAGTTTCAGTACGAATGTATCAATACATAAGTTTTGGTACAAAATGTCTTGGCACATAACTATAGTATATACATACGTACAAATATATATGATATATATGGCTTTTTTATTGTGGGAACTTAATAATAATTGTCAAATAAAGGATAAATATATAACCTACGGACAAATGCTCAATAATTATTGCAAATATACTCGATCGTTACAATTAAATGTCAAGAACTAAAGTTAGTTTTTAATCTTATACACAGTTTTATTTTAAAAGTAATATTATTCAATGAAATAGGATTTTCTATTAAATGAATTTAACAGAAGATTTGCCATTGGTCAGATCAAAAATAATTTATTGAAATCTAAAAGTAATCTTATATGCAGTTTTAATCTAAGTATAGATAATATCATTGGTTTAGCCATAATAAAAAAAAATAAAAAAATAAAAAAACAAGTGTTGGCACGATCACCAAAATTTTGTCGATTAAACTTCAGTCAACTCAAGTTTGCCCGCCAGATTGTTGTTGCAAATTTCATTGGGTAAATAGAAGTTAACCGACATAATCATGTTGCGGTCAGGAAACTACATTTACAACAGTGTTGACACAATTAATTTTGACTGACAAACTTCCATCAGGTAAAAGATCAAGTGGCGACCCTAGGTTTTAGGACACGGTTCTTGTTCGTCTCACAATTTAATTTTTCCAGTAGTGAGTGCTCAAACCCGCTCAAGAATTTCTAGTCCCCATCTGACTGATTAAAATTCTCTGAGTCTAAAAAAAGGGGCTAAAAGTTTTGATATATATGTCTAAATTTTGCTTCTTATCAAAATTTCTTTCTGGTTCGGGTCCTAGGTGGACTTGAATAAATAATAATAATAATATAAACAAATTAGCTTGTCTCATGCCCTTACTCTAATTGCCTAGCTCACAAGGTAAGCTATATGGATATGAAGAGTACCAATTGGCAATATGGAAAATAATTGAACTTATAAATTTATGTAAGGTCTCCCTTCATATTAATGTGTGATCAATTCTCAACATGAGAAAGCAAATATAATTCAATTCCCATATGCACTGAATGTTTCGAATAAAGATGATGATAAACAAATGGCAATGAACTTCCGTCCATATATCTAACAATCTAGTACTAGAAGCAAAATCGGTTCTACAACCCTACTATATGGGAACAAACATCAGTAACTAGCAATTAATAGTTCAAAAATCTTGTTTATATTAACTGCAATGAAAAGGACAATCACGAATTAGCTATCCAAATTGTAATGGTTACAAATGTACGGGTCGAGTAATTTCTTGGTTATATGCCGGGGCTTGTGGATTCAAGGGTACAAGAAGGGGTACACCGTTTACCACTCAAACTGCAGTAGGAAATGCTATTCAAACAGTAGTGGATCAAAGTTACAACGAACATGAGTTATGATAAATGGCCTGGGTTTCAGAAGAGATGCGGCATTAAAAGCCTTAAATCTTTTCTACGTAAAGTATACTCCGAAGACATCGAACAATTATTTATCACCATGATCAGATCGAACAAGTATATATCCTATTATCATGTAATATCCTTTACATATATATTGTTTGATGGCGTATATCTCCTATATATTTGTCTGAAATTTTGAGTATTTTAAATTGATTAAAGTTCAACTGATTACATCATATGCAAGACAATAAACAAATTGTTCCGCAGCTAAATTTGAAAATTAACTTGTAACTCCCATCAAGGCTACCTAACCACAATGCTTATATATTTAGTTTAGTATTTTTTTTTTCTTATTTGATCCTTGTAATCTTGCAGTTCTCGTTGAATTTGACTTTCAACAAAGTGCTTGAAGTCTAGTAATTGCTTTTTGCGGTTTATTATGCTTTATTTGTAATTATTTTGCAAAAATTGTTTTAGAGGTGAATGTTTATTCAATAAATTAAATATTTACTTCTTAAAATAAAATAAAAAGTTAGTTTGAGAATTGAGATTTATATAATGGAAGTTAAACGAGATTAGGCATAATATACTCGTTAGTCGACAAGCCTATCATGTCCAATGTCAGTTTTGTTCTACCAAGTGCTCTCGCCTTTTTCCTTCCGGTATTTCAGGTCATTGGTAAAATGTCAATGTAGTATGAGAAATGCGTGCACATAGGTCAAATTCCATGACATTATTATTAACACGAAAAAGAATTAAAGAAAATACATGTATAATTATAAGAAAAATTTATTGGGATCCAACTAAACAATTTTCCCTACTAAATTTTCAAATTTTCACTTAATAAATAAGAAAAAAAAAATATGGTTGTTTTTCTCTCTACACCCAATAACCCTAATTAAACCCACCACACCATTTCTATTATTTCCAACAAACTCAAACCAAACATCTATAAAAAAAAAAAATTCCAAGGTCGTCTACGACGGTGAACTTCTATTCTTTTCCTTCTCTTTCTCCTCCTCCCTCTTCCAACCTTGAGAAGAATATGAACCACCAAACTCCGCTAGTTTTCAGCGTCGAAATCAAACATGGGTGCGCACCATTCACACTAATTCACAGTTGTCTCTCTTTTTCCTGATTGATTTGATCCAAGTTCACATAGAGAAGCAAGACAGAGAGAAAGGAGAGCATCAATTGAATTCGTCAGAGCTTCAAATGTGTTCGCCGAAAAAAAAGAAAGGCGTCTCGTTTTGGTGGGTAGACTTATTTATTGTTTTTTTTTTTTTTTAAATTTATTTATTGTTAGATCTACAAGTTGTAATTGTTGTTAAACTTGTTTCTTTCAGGGAAAAAATGATATTGTATCAAATAAATTTTGAAGTTGGGTGGAATGATAAAATAAATGGGCTCAAATAGAATTTTCTCTTTACCTGAGTCTCAATTTTGCATGTCATAATCTGTAACCCCACCATTACTACTCTCTCTCTCACTCTCACTTTATAAACCAAACAAGGGCCAAAGGTAGACAATGAAAGGAGAAAAAAAGGTTCCAAAACAGACAAACCAAACCCCATTTCATAAATCAACCCTATAAGCTAGTGAAGCTTTCCCACAAAAGGTCTGGATAAATTCTCTGAGGAGAGAATTAATCAAGGAGCTCTCTCTCTCTCTCTCTCTCTCTCTCTCTCCATCCCCCTCTACAGATGGGTTTATGGAACCATCATGTGGAAGACCAAAATTTGTGCTTTCAAGCACCTCCTTTTATTGAATGGCTGAAGCCATCTTCCTCTTTTTCATCATCATCAACATCATCATCGTCTTCCCCTTGTTTATCTGAGCATGGCACTATACAATGCTTGCCTCTTTTAAGCCAGTTTACGGATACCAAGCTGGTGAAAGTAGAAGATCGCGGGGTTCAGGAAGAGGGTTTTGGAGTCAAAGAAGAGCAGATGGAGAAAGTTACAGTTGCCTTGCACATTGGACTTCCTAATAGTACTAGTAGTACAGGTGATAAATCAGAAACATATGATGAAAATAAGAAGGTTTTGAATCTCAAGGAAGAACAAGTGGTCATGAAGAAGAGCATTCATGGTTGTTCGTTTAAGGCAGAAAGTAGGTTTTGGATACCAACGCCTGCTCAGGTTCTTGTTGGGCCGATGCAGTTTGCTTGCTCCATTTGCAGCAAGACCTTCAATAGGTACAATAACATGCAGGTTAGTATTAATTCTTACCCATCATCGATTTGCTTGAATAAATTTGTTAGGGTTTCGAAATTGTGGACCTTCAAGATTAATTTTCGGCTACAATCAAACTACAGCCTGAGTCAAGATACAACATGGAATTAAAAATAAAACAAAAATATAGAGTTTGTAGTGAATTTATAAATCATTATATACAGATTTACTAATTTTACTGTTGACTATGCTTAGACAAATTTTTATCATTGACTGTAAATTTTAACACAAACTGCTTTTCTGTGAGAACTGGTGGTTGTAAGTAAATACGTGTAGTAGCATATGCATCTCTCCGCCCTAAATTCTTACTTTCGTTTTGCAAGATTGTATTTACAATGGCTTGATAAAGTTACAATATAAGTTACAATCATATAAATCTTTGCTTTTTGCTTGGCTTCATAAAGTAGTTCGACTTTTACAAAAGAGAGACACCGGATTTTGAGGAAATTATTAATCATTAAAGTTTTTCTTGTCTAGAAGGAGAAAAGGAACGTACAGAAGAATGGTGAAAGAAAATTCTTGGGGAAATTAAGCACATTATAGTACTAAAGTTACTAATACAGCGCTAGAGCTTAGTAATATTTATCTTCTTTTGTAAGTTTAAGGTTTTAAGTTCTACTCATATGTTAGTGTACGTATTTACTTCCACAAATTCTCAAATAAAGAGAGTTTGAAAATTAAAAACTTAAATGGTTAGTTACAAAACGAGGCATTTGTTTTCACTTTTCTTACAACGAAAACTTAAAACTAAAAACTAAAAACTAGAAACTAGAAACTGAAAATTGACAATTGAAATGATTATCAAACGGATCATCTATTAAATACTATTGTTGCTCACAGTTTAGGTTCATATATCCATTCAATTTCATTCTCTGTGGACAAATAAGAGGGTAAATTTTGTCCCTTTTCATTTTAACATGCAATGTTGGTTGACCCTGAGGTTTTTTAGTTAACGATATTCTACTTTAATTTAACATGACTTATTAGGAGGTGGCTTCAAACTCGTTTATTGAACTTTTGAGTGATTCATATCTTAATCCATGTCAAAATGAGGAAGAGGTTGACATCGAATCCAAAAACCTCTAGACTACATTGTGGTACCAAATTATTTTACAAATATATAAGGATAGGACTATAACAATGATCAACCCTCTGGCTATATCATATTAACTCCCATTGCCATTTCCTTTTCTTCTTCTAGTCCCTCAATGTTCAAATCTGAAGTGAAAGGTGTGGTTTTAAGAAGCTGAAGCAAGTTGGGGAAGGCTTTTGGGCTTGTAAAAGTTTACATGATATAAATTGAGGGCATGAATGAGTTGAAGGGCAATAGAAAAAGAATAAACAAACAAACAATTTTTCTTATCTATGTACATTGTTAGTGTATATATATTTGGTTCATATTTTGTTGATATTTGATAAAATCGGTTAATATCGACCAAAGTATCTATAATGTTTCCCTTATTGTAGATTATTACTTGACACCAGCCAATCACTAGCCTACAACAATTTTTACACTTAGAAGTTCTTTTTGGGTTCGTAAATACTTTTTTTCTAAGTCAAAGTACTGTGTATTCGGGTTGCAGATGCATATGTGGGGCCACGGATCTGAATATAGAAAAGGGCCGGATTCTCTAAAAGGAACACAACCAGCCGCAATGCTGAGGCTACCATGCTACTGTTGTGCTCAAGGCTGCAAGAACAACATCAACCACCCAAGAGCCAAGCCACTCAAAGACTTCAGAACTCTCCAGACTCATTACAAGAGAAAGCACGGAGCAAAGCCATTCATGTGTAGAAAATGTGCCAAAACATTTGCAGTTAAAGGAGACTGGAGAACCCATGAAAAGAACTGTGGCAAGCTGTGGTATTGCACTTGTGGATCGGATTTTAAACACAAAAGATCACTCAAGGACCATATTAGATCATTTGGTAAGGGGCATTCTCCACACCCTTCTCTTGATGGTTTTCACGAGGATGAGAAGGAATGTGTAACTGGTTCGGAAGAGGAATGAGTTTTTATCCAAACTAGCCAAAGTAATTTGCCCCTTTTTCTGAAAAAAATAAAAAATAAAAGATTTGTTCCTATCTCACATGTCATGTTACAAGTAACAAAATGTGTGAGACAAGAACAACTAGGAACAAGGGGTAAACTTCTGCTAGTTTTGATAAAAACTCAAGATGTGGACATTATGGAGCTTAATTTATCTTTCTTTTGGGTTTACGATTTCAAACTATCGAAGCTCAGAGAATGAAGGTAATTAATTAGGAGGGTATGTACTATATATATCCAAGCTTGTGCTCTGTAACAAAAAATTCTCAGCAGCTTGCACACCATGCACATAGGGGAGCGGTTTGCTACGGAGCACTTGCTGTGTGATAGGGAGTAGTTAATAACTCTAAGCAGTTTGCTTAGTGGTTTAAATATAAATAAGTTGATGATTACTTGAAGCGATGAAGCAGATGAATTTCTTTCTCCTATCAACACATGGTAGGTATCATGCAGTTACTATCTTTTGTAGCATCTCCCCATGGAGAAAATTTATCAGCTTCATTGTCAACTGGTAATCTATTCATGATTGTTGTATTATCAAATTGAAATGTTTGGAATCTTGATAATCTCCTCTCTCTCTCTCTCTCTCTCTCTCTCTCTCTCCCTCTCTCTGCATTTTTTATTTTATTTTTTCTTTTATTAATGATAAACTTTTTCATGCTAAAGAGAATGAAATCTTTGACTTTTTCTCTAACGTGTGATGATCCTAGTATCTACTTATGACTAAAATAAGGGTACATAAGGGGTAGGGTACGACTAAAATAAGGGTACATAAGGGGTAGGGTACAAATATGTGGAAAAGGATTCTCGCCGCTTTTTCCTAGGGATCTTAGGGATTCCGTGATTATGACCGTTTATCGTACATTCTATAGTTAGTTTTCGTTAAGTACTATTTATATTTAATTTTAAATTTTGAAGTGATTTCTAACCGTACGATGTACTATGAATGGTCACGATCATGAGATCCCTAGGATCCCCCGAAAAAGAATCAGACGAAAATCCTTTTCGCAAATATGAAGTTAAAAAAAAAACGAAGGAAGGATAATTAATTAACTACTATGGTAGCTAGATCGCCTTTTGACTAATTCCATGATAATCCTTAATGGCATGCTTTCATAAATTAATAGCTAGAGAACAGTACTGCCATTTGTTGTTTAGGGGGAGATGCATGTAGTTTCATCTCCTTTCTCTGCCTTGGTTGGCAGCATAACTACTGAAGATGCATGTACGTAGCTGTGATAATGTTAAATCATTACCAACAGGGTTTTTTTCACAAATGGTCACTAAGATTGACTAAACTCATTATTTTGGTCCCTCACTTTCAAAATCAATCAATATCATCCCTAACATTCACTATGGTATTTCCATTTAGATTCCGTCAATTATTCTTTTAGTTTGTATGTGGGATTCACAAATCCAATAAAATGGTGACATGTGGATTATACAAAAGAATGGTTTTTATCGCAGATGGTCCTTGACTTTGATCAAACTCTTCATTCTAGTCCCTGAGTTTCAAAAATCAATAAACTTGGTCCCTAACTTTCACTATCGCACATCAATAGAATCCTTCCTTTAAAATTTCGTCAATATTTTTTGTTAGTGTGCTAATGTGGTCCCACTAATCCAATCATATAGCGCCAAGTGGATTAACTAAAAGAAACTAATCTTTTTTTTTCTTTTAGTTTTTGTTTTTAATTTCTTATAGTACTTTTAGTTTTAAATCTTAAAAAAATATTTTTTTATAGTCAATCCATGTGGCGCCATATGATTGGACCAGTGAAACCATATTATCACACTAACAAAAAAATATTGACGAAATTTTAATGGAATGACTAAATTGATGTGTAGTAATGAAAGTCAAGAACCAAATTTATTGATTTTTCAAACTTAGGGACCAAAATGAGGAGTTTGATCAATGTGAGAGACCATTTGTGATAAAAACTCTTCTTTTGTGTAATCCACGTGTCACCATTTTATTGGATTTGTGGGTCCCACATGCAAACTAACAGAATAGTTGACAGAATCTAAACGGAATGACCAAATTGATCTGTGGTGGTGAATGTCAAGGACGACATTGATTGATTTTGAAAGTGAGAGACCAAAATGATAAGTTTGGTCAATCTCAGGGACCATTGGTGAAAAAAACCCTTACCAATATGCTTCAACATAAAATAGTTTTTTTCAATTCATTATTTCCAATTTTGCAGTGGCAAGGTGGATATCCAGTGTAAGTCCAATTTGGGGGCCAATACCTAATCACCCATCGAGGTTTTAACATCAATTATATAATGATTGGGTGTTGATTTGTTGAGATGGATATACGTAGAAAAACTTTAATCTTACCTTGAGCATTTTCATCCTTTAGTTATAAAAATTTAAATTAATACCCAAAACAAGTAAACACAAAACCGAAATGTGATTGTGTGAAAGGGAGATTTGGCAAAGACTTTTTATAAAGAAGACGCACAAAAAAGAGTGATGGAGAGAAAAAGGCGCTTAAAAGAGGTTGAAATTTGGTTTCTTGTGAGGTAGGCTTGACCAGGTGTAAAAAAAGGAATAGGAGAAACGTGAAATGGTGTTTGATTTTTGAAGATAATTAGGGTCCTCCACCATATTTTGTCGGGTGAGAGAAAAACTTGAGAGAAAGTGAAAAACTACTCCTTTTTGTCAATACGTTAGGTGTTCTGAGGGGAGGGAAGGCAAAGGGGGTGGGGTAACTTCGAATGGGTGAGAGAAAAACTTGAGAGGAAGTGAAAAACTACCCGTTTTTGTCAATACATTAGGTGTTCTGAGGGGAGGGAGGGCAAAGGGGGTGGGGGGAACTTCGAATCCTGGGTGCTTAATTTCTATTATAGCATAAGTCCTCTTCAACAACCACCCATTTTGTTTGTACATATTTTTTTAGCTATATCCTTTCACATTCAACCATACATGTCATATATGTATACTTGCATGCACCAAAATTGGACCACTTTCAAGCATGAGTCCTCTTGGTGATGCTTTACACTTACCCTCTTAGCCAGCTTAGCCTCATGTCCAATAAAGGGCCGCCAATTAGGAGAGACCAAGGCTTACTTTTTGTTCATCATTATCATTGCCTTAAGAATGAAAACAAAGCCTCGAAATGTAATCACATAATCTATGGTAGCAAGCTAGGGTCTGTTAGTTAATTTGGGGTTAAGGGGTGTATGGGAGTTAAACCATATTCTATAGTACTCTGAGCCAAGTGAAATAAGCATGGTATGGGATGTATAGGCTTGATACTCTAGGTATGTGTTAGCATAATTAGAGGAGGTGAGTTCATTTTTTCATCTCATCGGCACTGATTTAACTTATTGTATTGTTCAATGCATAACACTTTGATTAATCGTAATAATTGAACTTGAGGGTTGTACATTTCTCCATGGGCATAAAATGCTTACCCATATTAAATGTCGCATGTACCTTTACACATTTTGAGGAAGACAACGTCGCACTAGACGCCTATGTGAATAACTTGTGTGCCTGATGCATAATCTTATTAAGGAACAAATGTTAAATGTCCTAAGAAGTGAGTTGGGTTAAGCCGAATCATACTTAACTCGATTTTTTATTAAGCTGACAATTGCAATAACTCTTTTTGTCTGATAACGTTAAGGTGAAATTATACATTAAAAACTTTCACTAGGAAAAGAAAATCTAAAGGAAAATGCTAGGGAAATCAAAATTTTGAAACAAATTTTGTAAAACAAATGTGGTTGTTGATGATTGAATTATTATAGTTTAGTGTTGATTAATGTGATTATTTCTTATTAGTGGCACATCATTTAATTTGCAAATTTAATTTCAAAAATTTGATCTACCTAGCATTACTCAAATTTAAAATACAAAACTAGAAGGAAAAAAGAACTATACATTAGATGTGTCATTTTGCACATTTAATTTATGTTTTAAGAGTTGAGCGTCATACCCATCATGAAAACTATACATTTGTTGTAAAGCTTTTTTTTTATTTTTTTATTTTTTTTATTTTTTTGAACAAACGATTAAGAGAGAAGGGATAGACTTAGCTCCTCAATGAGCTAGCAATAATATGGTTCAAATTCAACTTTGCAAGAATCGAACCTAATACATCTCACTCACAAGTAAAAAGAAATATCACTAAACCGTAGTGCTAAATTGTTTGTTGTAAATACTATTAATTGTGTAGTTGTGATGCGAGTTTTATGCGCACAAATTAAACCCTCTTTTTGACAATTGTAGTATAAGTATAAGTAGGGATCGTTCTGGACCGGGGATTAGGAGGGATTGTTAATCACTTGGATTTTTGACTTAAAAACGTAAAAACAATATAAAACACTAAACTAAATTGATTTCTAACTAATTTGACAATAAAGTAAAGGGGGGATTGTGTTTAGACAATATTAAATTAAATGGAAAAATTGTAATTAAAGGCAAAACGTAAATATGAATGAGATGAAAATATGGATGATGGAATAGCCAAGGGGTTTTTCTCCACACATGTTATACTTGCATACAAAATTGATTCTCAGTTGGTCTTTCGATAAATTATGAAACTCGACACTTCAAGTTAATTAGGTCCGCTTAAATTAACTTTCAAATTTCCCTAGAATCATTGAATTGGATGAATATGCATCGCAAACAAATTATTCCTAACAAGTTCTTTATATGAACAGCATGATAAAGATACAAGTTAGAATCATTACGTTCTTTGGAAATTATAAGCATCGACAAGGCATTTGTAACTATGAAAAGCATGATACTCGTGCCAAGAATTCATTTAACGCGATTGTTTATAAGCAACCTCCACTACTTGTGAATATAAGTTTATAACGATTAGGTGAAATTCACTTATATTCTAGCATCATATTTATGCATGAAAATTAAGCGCGCATTCTTAATAAACATTCATAAATAAGTTATCACTCAAACGGTTAAACAAATTGAATCCAACATTCATGAAATTCCAACCAAATATAATCAATTCATATTGCAAGTATAACCATGGTTTCGAATCACCCCCTAGCTAACTAGGGGGATTTAGCCTCTCATGTTCACAAAAAGAGAAATACAAATGAATTTAAACATAAAGCACAAAGGATTGATTACACCTAGAACGCCCAACGAATCCACGTGAATTGGTGCGCGTCGAAGCTCCTCTTTCCTCTTCTCCTTCTGCGGCAGTGAGGTTAAATGGATGATTTGGATTTTATTTTGGGTTGGGGATGGATTTAGGGAGGATTGGTGGTGTAGGAAGGTGTGTAAGGTGATGTGTAGAGGTGTGGAATTCGAAGATGTGGCTGAAGGAAGGCACGGATTATATTGGGAATTATGGAAGGAAAATGGAAGAAAAAAATGTAGATGGTGATAAGGTGGAATGATGGGTGAAGATTGCACTAATGGGTTAGTGGAATGGTAATGCACGGATGATGGGGATTTAGTGGCAAAAGCAATAGGATAAAATATGGGATAATGGGAAGTGGACGGCAATATATGGATAATGGGATATGGTGCTCGGTTTTAGGTGAAGATAAGTGGGAGATAATGGCATGGAATTAGGGTTAGTGGAATGAATGGAAT